TGTTTTACATCCAGTTTGACAAATGGCACTTCTTGCCAGGGGTCTCCAAGGTGCCTCTAAGTTACTGTCTCAAAGCAATTTAGAAACTAAGAGAATCTTATTGATAGACTGAGTGGCCAATATTATCCCATTCAATACATCAAGACAACAATAATGTCGAGAAGCATTGATTTGTTTAACCACAGTGGAATCAGATCAGGCTTCAGGTTTTAGATGTCAGGCATATTTGGGGTTCTTTGTGCCATCTCTAGCCCTTAGTTCTTCCTCTAAAAGCCCCGCAGATCAAAATTAGAAGTTGCTGGGATACAAGGAATGTTTTTAATGTAATAACTGCCTGTTTACTTCTTAGAACTGTAAACAGAAGAACAGGGATGTCTATCTCATTGGCATTTGCTGTTTTTATAAGAAAATTAAAATCTCACAGAGGTACAGTTTAGTGAGCCAGTTAAGCCTTGTCTGTTAAAATTATGCAAAATAATGCTAAAAGCTGTTATTAATTCAAAACATAGACTGTGAAATCCAGATTTCAGTACTTAAAAAGGAAAAAATGGATCCAGCATCTTGGTAGTAGTCATATGTTTCCATTTCATTTTCACATTCTGTCTCTAGCCAGTGCTATTTTTGGTGTCAGATTACATTCTTAATGGAGAATATTTGTGGAAAATATCTGCTCTGGTCAAATGTTTGTGTCCCCCGCCTACCCCCCCCCCCGAATTCACCTGTTGAAATCTTAACCCCTAAAGGTGAGTGTGTTTAAGAGATGGGGCTTTTGGGAGGTGACTAGGTCACGAGAGTGGAGCCCTTGTGAAGAGACCCCACAGATCTCCCTAGCCCCTCCCACTATGTGAGAATACAGCAAGAAGGCCCCAGCTATGAACCAGAAGAGGGCCTTCACCAGAATGTGACCACGCTGGTGCCTTGATCTGGAACTTCTCAGCCTCCAAAACTGTGAGCAATAAGTTTTATTGGGGGATGGGGGTGGGGTATAGCTCAGTGGTAGAGCACATGCTTAGCATGTGCGAGGTCCTAGGTTCAATCCCCAGTACCTCCATTAAAAAGAAAAAAAAATAAGTTTTTGTTGTTTATAAGCTACTCAGTCTATGGCATTTTGTTATAGCAGCCCTAACAGATTAAGACAATATCAAATGGTTGGATTTGGATTTGATCATATAACCTCCCTCTCATCAGATTCTAGGAAATGACTTGATTTAATCATCTCATTGCTGATCCCAAGAGAAGACCAAGTACCTACAAGTGAAGTAAGTAAGCCCATTCATAGACTTGTGGTGAACTTGGTGCTCCTGGTCATGTCATAGCCAAGGATGAGGGGGATCTGTTTAGGGAATATTTCTTTAAAAAGCCCAGAATATCTATAATAAATAGTGGTTCTTATCCATTCACAGGGCATGGATCCCTTTAAGAATGTGAAAAGCCTGTGGAACAATTCTTTGGAAAAATGCACATGTACGTGCACACACACACACAATATTTGGCATATAACTTTTAGGGGATTCCCAAGAAACCTGAATCCAGTTGACTCACCCCAAGAACCCTAAGTCTGTAGGTTCTAAATGGGCCCCTGGCAACCAGATTGCTTCAGCATCTAGGCTTGACTGCTTTTTTTTTTGGTTTTGTAGAATATTTGGAGGCCTTGTGTCCAACAGAATGGAGCTAAGTGTTTCTGTTGGGTTGCACTAGAATGTAAATTATTACATGAAGGGCTAACCGAGATATTAGAATAAATGTGAAGCCATGTGTGATCTTTATACAGCTGGTTACAGGTCTTTTGTCCTGTGAGAGGGCAGGTTAGTTGCCCTCTCAGTCCCACCTCCTGGAAAGGTAAGAGCTTGCAGACATGCAATGTATGACAACCTCTAGCTTCTAGGAGCCTCCTGCCTCCACCCCATTTCTTTAGAACCAGGGATCCTAGTCAGGGAAGGACTGAGACTTTTGTACCAGCATATTGGAGATAGTTAATCTCAGGAGAAAATTATATAGAGCCACATTTACTTTATATACTAGGAAATTATGTTCAACAATATCTTTTTGTCCAACCATCTGCTTGAATCAAGTTCCTGCCAGCCTCTGGGAGTAGTAATTATTCACTGCTATGGAACAGAGCTCCACGCTGGCTTTCCACTGAGGGAGTAGACCCTTTGGTTGTCTGTTGTCTGTTGTCAAGAATTATTTTGTCAGTTACCATTGTCAGCTGCTGATTTTCCAACAGACAGGCTAAAAATAAATCCTCTCAACACAAGCCTTCTCTTTATGAAAGTGTGGGAGATAGAATATACCAATTATGGATATAATTTTGCAATATAGAGAACATTTATTAATGAGGAATGAATCAAAAAAAAGGAAGGAGGACTGGGTTTTACAGAGGCAAGTGAACAAGGGAGTCATTGGCAAACCTTCTGGGACTCATGAAAAAGGATGGAGGTGGGTCTTATCTCAGAATATGGAAAGGCTGGGTCGTCCTTTCCAGTATTTAGCCATTTCTTGGAACACAAAAGACTGGGGGGATTTCTTAACCATCATTACTTTCGAGGAGCACGGATGAAGCTGAACATTGTCAAAGGCTGTATCTTCTTCAACTTTTAAGAGCCTAGAACAAATCTGAAAGAGAAAATCATTTCTGTAAGCTTTATGTATTAGATAAAAACAGAATTCTGGCATCTTGTTTAGGACACTTAAGCTATCTCCTCCTTTAATTTGGGTTAAGAAAATGGAATGGCCTGCATAACCAAAGCTTAACAAAGGGAAAGCAATCAAAGCTGTTCCAGCTTTTCTGGAGGCCTACAGAACCTATGGAACAACTTTGAATTTGGGCCAATCATGGAAGCTCTTTCTGTAACTTACAGAAATTCATTCAACATGTATTTTTTGCATCCCTGTTATGTGCTAGGCATGGATATAGATACTGGGGATATAGCAGCCAACGCATCAGTCCGAAATTTCTCCCCTCATAGGGCTCCTTGACACTGCCGAGAGAGAAGTTTGGGCAGAGGGAAGAGTAAAATGTGAAGGCTTGAGATGAGAACTTGCCAAACGTTTTCAAAGAATAACAAGGAGGGCAGAGTAGCTAGACTGCAGTGGGCAGGCAGACAAGTGGTGGCGGCCGAGGCTAGAGCGCTTCATAGGGGTGGGGGATGATGGGACCTGACAGGCCATTGTGATGATTTTGGCTTTTACTCAGGGTGAGATGGGAAGCTACTGGATGGTTTTGAGCAGAGGCAATGACATCATCTAACTTACATTTTTCAAAGACTCGCTCTAACTGACATTTTAAGAGGACCAAAGCAGGGAAATAATGACAAGGCTGTTAACACTAATCCCGGGAAGACAGGGGCTTGGATCAAGATAGTCATGGCAAAGTATATGGATGTGTGATGGTGCTCAAATCCCCTTCAGGGATGAAAAATTTATTCCTCCAGCAGCTGGGAGGTCTCCAGCTAGTGGCCTTCAGCTGTCAGTCCTCTTCAAGAGCTGCCTTCTCTGAAGACAGTCATCTTGACCCTTGGCATTCCCCCTTTCTGGGGCAGTGTGTGTCCAGTGTGTGACCTGAAGGTAAGGGGTATAAAGCCTCGCTCACTCACCTCAATTCAGGACCGTGCCCAAGGGCCACCCCGGCTCAGAGCTCCTCATAGAGTCAGCTCAGGCTTTCATCGTGATGGTGTCACAGCTCCACTGCTCCCTCTCGCCAAGCCTGTCTCCTTCCCTCTCCCAGGTGTGAATCCCAGGAGCGCTCCCTAATAACCCTCCTGCCCACTACTCCATCTCAGAGTCAGCTTCCAGGGTACGTGTCCTGTGGCGTGGAGGTGGTGAGCAGGGATCAGGTTCTGAATATATTTTGAAGGTAGAACTAAATGGATTTGCTGATGGATTAGATGTGATGTTAAAATGAAAAAGAAATCAATAATGAAACATCAAGATTTGTGTCCTAAACAAATGGAAGGATGGACTAATTTTAAACTGATTTGAGAAAGACTTTGGGAAAGGCAGGGGTTGGGGAGGAGGTAGGGAATATATTATAAATAAAGGTAAACTCTAAATATTCGTGTAGGTAAAAGGTCAACTTACATTTCCAGGAGCACAATCTTAACTTTGACTTGGAATACTCCCAACATCATACAATTTTAGATAGAATCTGTTGTAGTGGACATTTCATTTAATTTGAGGAACATCAGAGTAACTAAATGTAGTCAATGTGAATACATATGTTCAACCACTACATAGCAGTTGCTGATTCATAGAGGCACAGAAAGTCTAAGTCTGAGAGAACAAAGCCAGCCATTAGCATATCCACTAGGATGCGTATCAAGAAGTGTTTTTCCAACAAAAATAGAATTTCCATACCATCCAACAATTCCCCTCCTAAGTATATATCTGGAAAAAATGAAGACACTAATTTGAAAAGATACATGCACCCCCATGTTCATAGCAGCACTATTCACAATAGCTAAGACATAGAGGCAACCCAGGTACCCCTCAACAGACAATTGGATTAAGAAGATGTGATGTGTGTGTGTGTGTGTGTATAAAATATATACATATACACACACATACGTATATACATATATGGATGGAATGTTATTCCACCATAAGAAAGAATGAAATCCTGCCATTTGCAGCAACACAGATGGACCTAGAGAATATTATGCTTAGTGAAATAAGTCAGAGAAAGACAAATACTGTATGATATCACTTATGTGTGGAATCTAAACAAGTAATACAAATGAACGTATATGCAAAACAGAAACACACTCACAGATATAGAAAACAAACTTGTGTTCACCAAACGGGAGAAGGAAGGGGGAAGGGACAAATTAGGTACATGAGATTAACAGGTACAAACCACTAAGTATAAAATAGATAAGTAACAAGGATGTAATGTGTAGCATAGGCAATTATAGCCATTATCTTGTAATAACCTGTAATGGAGTATAATCTGCAAAAATTCTGAATCACTGTGCTGTACACCTGAAACTAACAATATTGTAAATCAGCTATACTTCAGTTAAGAAAAAGAAATTTTTTTTCTACAAGGCCCTTATAATCCATAGTACAATAATGAGCTCCCATGAGAAGTTGAAAAAAATCAAAGCTGCTTACAAACTGCACGCATCACATACCAGATGATAATCCCAAGACAACAGAGAAGTGATCGCAATGATATGGCACCACCTTTTACAGATACGATTCTGAGAAAATTCACAGTAAAGAGAAAGTTCCCTGTGGGAAACAGTTGTTAGGACATGACCCTTGAGCTGGGCTTGACAGAGGTATAGAGTCAGTGGAAAGCTTAGGGAAGGTGTTTCTAGAGGATGGAGGAATGTAGAAGAAGGCCCAGAAGTGAGGATGGAAAAGATAGATACTAGGAGCAGTAGGGATGAGCCTGCCTGTCAGGAAAATTACATCGATTGGGTGAAGTTGGGACAAGTGAGCTGACTTTTCAAACTAGGCGAGGAGTTTGGATTTCACCTTTTAAGTTGCCAAGGAACAGAAGAGTTCTTCTCAAGACCTTTAAGGTACCGGTGTGCATTGTGAACCTCCAAAATAGAAATGTATGCTATTTCCCAAATTTATCTGACACTGGAAGCTTTTTTCCATGACATCACTTATTAACAACTTTGAAAAGATTTGTTCTACAGATACCTAGAGGAAGAAGACCCTCAACCTAGAGTATGCTCGGAAAACTGGGAGCTCAAAGGTTCCAAAAATAACAAAAATTTTTCAAAGGCATGAATAGTATCTTGGGTAGTATCCAAAAGCATCAATTCATCCTCACTGTTAGCAGCACATTGTGGGTCACTTGGAAAGGGACTCGTGGTTTTCTGAGACCTTCTTTCCTTCTTTAATGATTGATAAATCTGTCACATATTTCATCATAAGATTCTTTTATCCTTGCAAAATACGTTTCTGGCTTGGTGTGACACCACACTTAGTTCAAGCAATAGGGTGTATTGCCTGTTCTTCAGCAGGCCGCAGGCACTCTCTCTGGTCATTGTCAGATGCCAGGTGGCACCTGTAAGACAAGCAGGAAGGAACTGGTCTTGCCTCATAAAAGCAGCCTCAAACCAGGAAGGCTCTGTCTGCAGCCCCAGGCCTTTCCTGTCTGTCCCCACTCTTGCCAGGACTTTCTTTGTGTCCTTGCTGTTGTCTCATTTGGGTTCTCAGTTGCTTACTGTGGTTCCCCACCCCCTCCTGTGCTAAGCCACTTGGTAATTGAACTTGACTTTTATCTTCCCTTCGTTCTATTTTAAAAATATCTGAAAATAGCTTGTTTTTCCAATGGGGCCTCCAGCAAGTCTTTAACTTTAGTTTAGCGATAGTTCCCAGCCAGGAGTGGCACCACATCCCCCCAGCCTTCTACATGTGGCATTTGGAAATCTTTGGAGGCATTTTTTGTGAGGGGATTATCACCATGCACTGTAGAGAAGGTCCTATTACCAAGTACCGAGCAGAGGCTGAGAATATTAGGCATCAGGCAGTGTGGCAATAGCCCTACATAATGAAGAGTTGCCTGTCCCCAGATGCCAGGAGTGTCCCCAGTGAGAACCGCTGTGTGCTTCCCAAACTCTGGCCACTTGAGTACCACTTTGATAATTTTTAATATATAATGTACCACTTGTGCAAATTTTTTAAAAATTAACTCACTTAAAAAATTATTTTCTTTTAGCAATAGTCTGTTTGAAACAATGGGTTAATGTTATTTATATTTAAAATAAACATAAAGATAAATACCTAACACCTCATACAAAATATTCTGCATTAGTCATACGTATATGAAATTTGGGAACACTGGGTCCTGCTTATGGCCACGTACCCTTTTGGGGTTTTAATGGGAGCATTAGCCTTGCACACATTTTGTCTTCTGAACTATGAAGATCTAAGCCAGTGTGCCTGATGGACTCCTTAATGTGGTGCTTATAAGGCCACATGTTTAATGTCCCATTAAGGTGATTTATTTTCTATAAAGAAGTTCCTCCCACTGGCAATGACATCATCCTTGACCCAGGCCAGGGTCTGTCTTTGCTGGTTGCAAAGTCAAAGGGTGAAAGTGAGGCTCACTTGGCATTTGCCTCCTTGTATTCTAGAATTCTAGGCTCTGTGAGGACAGACCTGTGTCTTGTGTCCCCACCTTTCCTAATGCAATGAGCATTTATGAAAGTCTCAGTGGGTGAATGAAAGCATGACCAAATGAATGGATGCTAACCCCGCACCACAAAACAGGCAACGGGGTAATATAAACACTGCTGCCCCGGAGTCCAAAAGTCTTGCATACGTTTCTTAGGCTTCCTGATGTTCATTTAAGGCAATTCTAGACTAAGTTCCTGCTCCATTTCAGCTGACTCATCCTGCAGGATTACTGCAGCCACGTGCAATGAGCACAGAGAAGGGAGGGAGAGGAGACAAGAGAGGAAACAGCAGCCTCGGGGGAAGTTGATTTCAAGGGCAAGGTGTCATTTCATCCTCTGACCACTGTAGACGCCAGGATTTTAGCCTGAGTTCCCTTATTTTACAGGTCAGAAAACTGACGCTTGAGGAAATTATCTAACCCAGGGTCACTCACTAAAATACATAGCAATGTCAGCGTTTGAACTCAAGCCCACCTGAGCTGTCTTTATAACCCCGGAGGTGCTGCCAAGGATCCCGGAATGGCTGTGTCAGCTTCGTTGTTTCCAACCCACCTGCTGGACTTTTGATGTAAGCAGCTCTCTCCCCTCACTATCATGGAGAGCAAGTGGGTGACGTTCATAAAATAGATCTTACTAGTTCCTGCCTGCTGCCAGCCAGAAAGTCATGTGAAATAGCACAGCAAAGCGAGGTTGCCGTTGTTGCCCCATGGGATTTCGTCAAAAGCCAAGATAATCCGGGCTGAGACAATCTGTGGGCAGGGCACCACATGGGCTTTTGAATAGGGTGTTTGTCTCATTGGCTGAAGGAAAAGAGCTCTATTCATAACCTTCCCCTGATAGCCTTTTGCAGGAGAAAGTGGAGGAAAAGCCAGAATCTCAGGGGAAAGAGGCCTTTTCCCTTTCTCTGAGCAGGATAGTTCCGCATCCCCTCCCTGGCAACACTGATTTTAGGTAAATGGTTGAATTTTTTTCTCCCACCATTATGGGAGCAGCGCTAATAAGTTGTCTTAGTACCTGAGTGTTTTGAGGAATGTCCTGCCTTTATTTAGCCAAGTGAAATCTGAGCTGCTTCTTGATGTTATTAAAAATTGTCCTTGCTCTCTATCCCCACCCCAGAGCCTTCCTTCTGTCCCCACGGAGCAGATTCGAAACTTTTTTCAAAATAAAATGTCATTGGTCTACTCTACCCTCTGAGGAATGATCCTCCCGCCCTTTGTAGTTGACTGTGGCTGTATCCTGCCTTTGAAACAGCGTATCTTGTTAGATCATCCACAGGATTGGGAAATGACCTCTCGTCTGAATTTAATTCCAGCCAAGATGGTGTGAGGTTGCTGTTGGCCAACCTGAAGTTTGGGCTTTCAAGTGAAAACCTGAGGAATTTCCTTTCCAGCCCCACTGTCTATGAACAAAAGTGATCTTCAGTCATGGTGGCCTCCCTTGGAAAGCCAGGCTTGCCTGGGCAGTCACGGCTCCAGTGTTCAGGATTCACGGTGAGTGCTTCAGGCACAAACGCATGTGTGTGTGGCATGACTGCCACAGTCCCCAGGCACAGTGGGCACCTGTAAGGACCTCTTCCCTCCCGTGTCCAGGCTGTTGGCCTCCCACATCAAGCAACAACAGTTTCCTCCTATTTTTATGTAGCTCAGGAAAGTCCTCCAGGCTCTACAGCTCACTTGCCAGCTCAGACTTTTCTGCTCTTACCTGGTTTGTTTGTTCGTTTATTTAACAACTTTTTGTTGTACCTCTTATGTGCCAAGTACTGATGAGGGACATCATAGCAAAGCAAGCATAGATCCTGTCCTTGTGGAGCTTGTAATTTCGTGAGAAGTTAAAAGCTGTGGCAAAAGATAAAGAAGGAAAAGATCAGTAAGCTATGAGGTCATACTAAAGGGAGACCTAAAATGCTCCTGTGGGGACACTCTGGTTCCCCACTCTCCCTCACTACCTCAGGCCTGGTCCGAGGTTTCCCTCATTTTGTTAGCCTTTCATTTTGGTGACTCAGTTGCACTATTTTTTAGGCTTTTGGGTTATTCTCTCCAAGATGCCACCTCTGATAAAGCCCCTGGGTTCTATGAACTACAGGCAAAGATGACAGGGTGAAGCTATCGATGATGATCTCTCTTCCAGATGCTAGTCAGCGACTGTGCAAACAGGGAGAAGGCTGGCAAGATACACAGCAGCTGTAACCTGGAACCACCACTGTAAGTCGCATGTGCCAACTCTGCAGCGCCGGCACGGCGGTGCCGTTTCCTGTGTTCTGACCCTTCACCCGACTCAGGCAGTATGTACTGTCCTGGGCCCCTCCCAGGACCCCAGTATTCTAGAGGAGGTGACACATAATATGATTTCATTTACCTATAGGACTTCATTTAAGAGTGTTGTTTCATTTATTTACTAATTCAAAAAAATATTAGAGCCAATGATTTTTTTCAAGCTTGGGCATTATGTACTGCCTTCTCACTGTGGAGTCACTGTGGAGTCATCTCACCTTCCTTTCATGACTTCATTTCCTCCGTTTTCTCTTTTCCTCTTCTATGACTCATACTGTTTGGATATCGGACTTCCTGTTTTAGTCCTTAAATGTTCTTGTCTTTTCTCTCCTATTTTCTGTCATTTTGTTGTCCTTTGGAAGTTTTGTCAGGGTTTTCTTCTAAACTTTTTATTGGGTTTTTAATTTATGCCATGTTTTTTTTCATTTCAAAGACATTTTTGTTTTATGGACACTCCTTTTAAAATAGCATCCTGTTGCTTCATGTTTGCAGTACATTCTCTTAGCTCCCTGATTATTTTCACCTCTTTCACCTTCAAATTACTTTAATCTCTTTGTTTTTATTCTCTGTCTTTTATGTGTGAGGCTTTCTTCAGATATCTAGTGATCCTTGGGTGTAGTTTATATTTAAAATCAGGGCACTAAAAAGCATAATGGTAGCTTTGTATTGTGGGTGGGGCTTGGAGATCACCGGATCTCTTGTAGGGTGATGAGGCTGGGCTGTTTAATTGGATAACTGGAATGTCAGTATCTTTAGGTCTTTTCTTTTGGTTTGTCAGATATATTTTCAGAGAGTCTTCTAATATCCTGCATAGTATTCTATGAACCAAGTAATAGAAGAGAGTCAGTAACTATAGGGGAGGGTTTCAACATTTAGTATTTAATTCTCCTGTTTTCCAAGTGGTAAGTGCCCTCAGCTATACCCTGTGGCCCCATCTCAGAGACCTTCTGTTTTCACTCCCTCCACAGTATAAACCCCCATTTCCTGCTGAGGTAGAGGGAGAGGATTATCACCTGGTTGCACAAAATAAGAAAGAGGAATTTGGCAAGGGCGGTCTAGCCACTCCTTCTGTCCTTTATCCCCAAATCATAAACCCCTGATGATTCTGTTTCTTGAGATCTGGGGGCTCTATATGTGTTGGAAAACGGGCTACTGCTTAGCTTGCTCACTTATGACATAGTTTTCCTGGGTATGCTGGGTCAGTTCATCTTTCTTCTGTTTTCTAATTTGCAGCACTTTCTCTTTCCTCTTAGGTCTTAAAAAAAAAAATCCCTTTATGTCAGTTAGTGGGAATCCAGAGAATGTTCAAGAAAATGTGTATGTTTAGTTTTCTATCTTTAAACTGCTTTTAACAATTCCTTGACATACATTTTACTTAGAAAATGTGCCAGTATGTTATTTGATCTCTTAATGGTTATTTTTTGTATTTTATATAGTTATAGTTTTATTTAATTTATTTTTTTAATTTTAATTTCTATTTTTGTTAGTGGAAGTACTGGGGATTGAGCCCAGGACCTCATGCATGATAAGCATGCACTCTACTACTGAGCTGTTACCTGTCACACCCCCATTAATGGTTACTTTTTAAAAGTAAAGAATATAAGGAAGCTACAGCAGTAATTTTGGAGACATTTTAGAGCATTTCTTACTAACAAAGTACTTTTGAACCAATTGTTGCAGATATATGGTTCAAATTGCAGTGACCTTAATTCACAAAGACAGAAGTATCTATTTTAGATTTGGGAGATGAGGTAAATTGTGAAGGTAAATGAGGGAAGGTGAAGGGAATGAGGTAAACCGGAAATATTCATGGTGGAAGAACACTAGAGAATAAAGCCCTGGGCCAGGTGAGCTGGAAATTATGTTTTTTGTTTGTTTGTTTTTATTGAATTAAAGTCAGTTTACAATGTCGTGTCAATTTCTGATGTACAGCACAATTTTTCAGTCATACATTAATACATATATATTCATTTTCATATTGTTTTTCACCGTGAGCTACTACAAGATCTTGAATATATTTCCCTGTTCTATGTAGTATAAACTTGTTTATCTGTTCTATAGATACCTGTCAGTATCTACAAATCTCGAACTCCCAGTTTATCCCTTCTAACCCCCCTCCCCCCTGGCAACCACAAGTTTGTATTCTATGTCTGTGACTCTGTTTCTGTTTTATATTTAAGTTCATTTGTCTTCTTCTTTTTTTCTTTTTCGAGTCCATATATGAGTGATATTATATGGTATTTTTCTTTCTCTTTCTGGCTTACTTCACTTAGAATGACATTCTCCAGGGACATCCATGTTGCTGCAAATGGCATTATTTTTCTTTTTTATGGCTGAGTAGTATTCCATTGTATAAATACACCACAACTTCTTTATCCAGTCATCTGTTGATGGACATTTAGGTTGTTTCCATGGCTTGGCTATTGTAAATAGTGTTGATATGAACATTAGGGTGCCAGTGTCTTTTTGAATTAGGGTTCCTCTGGGTATATGCCCAGGAGTGAGATTGCTAGGTATATGGTAAGTCTATTTTCAGTCTTTTGAGGAATCTCCATTCTGTTTTCCACAGTGGCTGTACCAAACTGCATTCCCACCAATGCATGGCTCCCTTTTCTACACAGCCTCCCAGCATTTATCATTTGTGGACTTTTGTATGATGGCCATTCTGACTGGTGTGAGATGATACCTCATTGTAGTTTTGATTTGCATTTCTCTGATAATTAGTGATACTGAGCATTTTTTCGTGTGCTTATCGGTCATTCGTATGTCTTCATTGGAGAACTGCTTGTTTAGCTCTTCTGCCCATTTTTGGATTGGGTTGTTTGTTTTTTTCTTATTAAGTCATATGAGCTGTTTATATATTCTAGAGATCAAGCCCTCATCAGTTTCATTTTTTGCAAATATTTTCTCCCATTCCATTGAAAATTATGTTTTTTTATCAGTATAGTCAGGAAGCATGCCTGGAGGTAGAATCCAAATTGTTTTTGAGGGGGATCCCAGAGACAAGCAGTGATGGTCCTATCCAGAGGGCAAGACAGAGACACAGTGTTGGAAAAGCAGAGGGACAATAGCTTGGAATCAAGACTGAGAACAGCAAAAGAGGGCTGGACAGTCCTCCTCTTATGGGATGCTACTAGGGTGGTTTGTATGTATGGGAAAGATTTAAAAGACTAATATCTGACGTTGTTAAAGTTAGGAAGAAATAGGCATTCTCATATACTTTTGGAGAGTGTATATTTGTATAACTTTTATTGGAGAATAATTGGTAATTTTATATTAAAATTTTGACTATGTATTTACTTTTACTCAACAATTCCACCTCTAGGATAATGATTCTGTAGGAAAGACCAAAAAAATTAATGTACAAAAATGCTCATTTATCATTGCTTGTAATAAGTAAAACTGGAAACAACCAGAAAGCACATTAATAGAGGATTATTTAAATTTATGATGCTTCAGACCCAAATATAAATAGTCTTCATAAGGAGCTGCATTCAAAAGAAAAGTAATTCAGCATCTTTCAAAGAACATTCAGAGAGGTTTAATTCATAACCCATAACTCCAATTGACAGTTTATCCTTGTTATGTAGCTTTATAGTTGAATACTTGGAGCACCATATGTCAGATAAAGGAAATAAGGTCATTTAATACGTATTGACACAGAATGATATCTAAAATATGTTCAATTTTTAGAATGTTATAAAGTATATAGCATGATGTCATTTATGTTTAAAAATATATAAAGACTGACAGCTTCAAATAATGGCAGAGTAGTTTATATCAGACTAAACATCCTACCAATAATAATTATAAACTCTTCTTGTCTATCTACTTCAAGGCATTAGAGAAGGGCCAAAATCAGACACAAACTGGAGGAGATATAATTCACATTTAGCTGTCTTTTCCCCTGCAGACATTCACTAGTCTGCAGAACACAGACTTACTGGACTGAAGAGTTAGAGGCCAGACTACAAGGCTGCCTGAGCCATTGGAATTTGAAGGGGGCAGGAAAATCCCAGAAGTGATGATGGGGGAGCCCCCAGATCTATGTGCAAAATCTTCTCAAAACCTTGGCTGACTCTTCAGCTGTAATGCACAAGACAAGACTAAGGAGGAGAGCAGAAAACAACAGCTGGATAGCTGAAAGAACTGAGCAGAGATTTCAGCAGCTACCTGGTGTTGGGAGATAGTTTGCAGTTAAAATCTTCCAAATCATAGTGGTTTGATAAACATGTCTTGCATTTCTATGATATGCCAGAAGCATCATGCCATAGATGTAAGGACCATATTGCAGGACTGAGCTAAGGACTGTGAGCCTAGGACTAAGGATAAAAATAAAATATAACTAACCCAACAAAGTCAGAAACAAGCCTGCGAAAGAGTAAGGTTATCCACAAGAAATTTAGCTGCACTCTGAAACAAAACCTAGTACTCACCAGAGGAAGATAACAGAATTTAGAGTTTCCACAACGTATCATTTACAGTGTTTAGTTTACAAGAAAAATTATCAGAAACACAAAGAAGCAGGAAAATGTGACCCATAATAAAGAGAGCAAAACCCCCCAGAAAATAAAAGAAGACCCACAGACAAAGCAGATGTTGGAATCAACATATAAGGACTTTAAAATTCCTATTATAAATATGTTAAAGAATTTACACACACAAAAAATGGATACAATATGTGAAGACACAGATCAGGAAAGATATAAAAATGCTTACGCAAACAAACAAAAAGGAACCATATGGAAATCACATAACTGGGGAAAAAAATACCTGAAATAAAAAATAGAATACCTGAAAATATTGGGTGGGATTAACATCAGTTTGAAGATGGCAGAAGGAAAGGTCAAGGAACTTGAAGAAAAGTCACCAAAAACTGCCAAACTGAAGAGGAAAAAAATAAAAACTTGAAAAAAATGAACAGAGCCTCA